TTATTGAGGAGATTTGTATTAAGCCAAACAAGTACATAACATGACAAGTTTTTGCAGATATAGCTGTTTGATAAGGCAGAACTGACAAGGGCTTCCTTCTTTCCCCTAACACTCTGGCAACATTTGGATCTTAAAAAAAGAAAAATCTCAGATTGGTATTCTTTCTTGGGCAGTGCTTCTGAAATGTACTGCAGTTACAGGGATTACAAGTAAGAAAATATAGAATCATGGAAATGTATGTTTAAAGTCAATTCTTGTTTCTTCTGGTGCAAGGCATTGTAGCAGAGCTTCCAGGATTGCTAAAGAAGCCTTCCTATGTTCTGCATGACAGTGGCCACTGACTGGTGTCTTTTGTTTTGAGTACAGCATACTGCAAAGTGGGACTGGGAATCTGCTATGACATCCGGTTTGCTGAGCTTGCTCAGATCTACTCTCAGAGAGGTGAGGATGTATTGCTATATCTAGACTATGTACAACTGGGACTTGCCTGTACTTGAAGTATCAACCATTCAGAAAAGGCTGCTTCAGAAGAGGTGCTGCCTACTGATCAGTCTGCAGTTGCATACATGTGGGCATCAGGAGCAGAGTGCATGAGCTTCTGGTCCAAAACGTCGCGTCAGCCTGGGTGGTTAAAGGAGTAGTTCCTCCTCTTGAGACACTAATGTATGCTGGTCCTACATACACGTCCCCCATGTTAGAAACGGATGCATGTACCTGTACAGGTAAGCTAAAGCATGAACATCGATCCTGGACTTCTCTTCCTATAGATGGTTATTTATCAGTCAGATCAAAATTCTGTATATTTTAACCAGTTATGGATCCTGAAGTCCTGACATAAATTCATTAAAAGGCAGAGAAATGTCTTAACTCTCTTCTACAAATTTTGTTAAGCACAGGCCAGTCCTTGCTTTCCACCAATGAACCTAGCATGGAATATCATTGATTGAGTGTCCCAGCCCACAATTATTGCATGACTGCCTGGGGTCTAACATCTAAGCCCATGCACCAGTTTTGTGTCAGTCCCCATGTTCAAGTGGTTTTTGCTGGCTGACTCTTGAAGCCATGCAAGTCAAGAAGAGGTACAATCACCCTGAATAACCACACATTTCAAGTGCCCTGGCACTCTTGGTTAAGGTATCCCTGCTTCCACATGAAAGCAATGGGGTCATCTTATAAAACATGCATTTTTCCTTAAAGGTTGCCAGCTGTTAGTGTATCCTGGAGCTTTTAACCTGACAACGGGACCAGCTCACTGGGAGCTACTGCAAAGAGGAAGGTAAGAACTAAATAAGCAAACCTCTCCGTAGGTGATTTTTTTTTTTTTTAACTTGAACTGATTCACTTCTGTTTAACTGTTGTTTAATAACTTATTGGACTCTGAGGCCATATGAATTAATTGTGTCCTAACTGCTCCCATCAGAGGTTACTTATCAATCCTGAAGCCTTCCACAGAGCACCAAAAACAGGGCTCCATTCACTAACGGGGGGAAAAAAACCCAGATGCTTCAACTGTGCTGAGGGATTCTTAGAATTTAGAAAGCACTTTTCATATTTAGCTCTCCCTGCACTGTACTTGCAGGCATGGCATGTATGGAGAGTGAGACTTGGTTTGGTTTTAAAAGCTGTTTGGACCATAAGCAGCTATTTCCACAGTTAGACTGTGAGGCAGCGTTGGATAGGACTAGAGCCCTAAAGGCTCCTGATCCGGTTTGCTTGCTTTGAGATCCTTGAAGTGTTTGGGACTTCAGTGGGTCCTCACTTAAAGCCCATGCTTAAGTTGATTTTAATGAACACCTAAATACTTTTTAGTATTTAGTGGCCATTTCTGTGCCACTTGGTATAGAGATTGATGGTTTTGACTGTTTAGTGTCCCTTACAATACTGAGCAGTGAAATGGAATATACAGATTACCTCTCTGGAATAGCTTTTTCTGCTTCATATTTTGCTTTAATGCAGTTCATTTCTGGTGTAGGAAATTGCAGGCAGTAACTTGTCCTTGTCATTCTTTGAATGCAGAGCTGTCGATAACCAAGTCTATGTGGTAACTGCATCTCCTGCTAGGGATGAAAAAGCATCTTACGTTGCCTGGGGACACAGCACTGTTGTAAATCCATGGTGAGTGCATGGTGGTAACAAGACTTTACAGAACTCAGGCAGGTTCTGTCTAAAAATGTTAATTTGAGGATGAAATATAATCACCTAAGATTCCTTTAGCTAATAGTAAAGATATGTCTACAGGAGACCCTTGCCATTCACAGGAGATACATTCCAGAGATCCCCACAAATAGTGAAATCCACGAATACTGATGGAGCTCCCCGTGAGACCCCACAGCCACCTCCTGCTCCCCCCCGCGGCGCCTAGGGACCGACCCCTTCCCCCCGCTGTGCCGCGCACACTCTGAGCACTGCCGTGGCTGCCTCCAGGGCAGAAGATGCCACTGTCACCTCTCTCCCCGGCACTCGCTCTCTGCCCACCTCCTGGCTCTGTCCTCCCCTGCCCCACGCAGCGCCAGAGCCAGGAGTTCGGTGCGCTGCCTTGACCCACCCTGAGTGCAGCTGTGCCGTTGGTGCGGTGCACCGCAAATATTTGAATCCACGAATCCTGAGTTCACAAATAGTGAGGGTTTCCTGTATTTTCCCCTAATCTGTTTTTCCATTCAGTGACTATTGGGAAGCTCTATCAGTTTTCCTGGTTTCCCTTGTGGGTTGTGTGGTTTTTCAACCAAAAGAAAGGAATAGAGGAACTGAAAACCTTGTGTGAGAAATGAGAAAAAAAAATGGCTGAGATTCAGGAGTAGATGTAGCACCTGGAATGATTAACCCTTCAGGCAAAAAGCTGAACGTCAATTGACAGTACCTATTCAGGGAAACATCCAATTACAAGTTCCTTAATCTAGTGTCTTGCAGAATGATCATGACATTCGAGCGGGGATAGGAAATGCGCTTTACTACTTTGGAGCCTATGGTCATCCCCCCTCCCCGTCTTGACAAAGGAAATGTGTAATTCACCTGACAGTAAACATGAAGCAAAGGAAAAAAAAAAAAAAAAAAGACTCCTCTGTAGAAAAAATTGATGGAGGGAAGCAAACCTGTCCGTAATATTGCTGCAGACCCTGGGACCAAAGAAAGCTGATTTGGGCCCATAGTCAATACCTGGATCAGATACTTTTAGGCTAGGGAGAGAAATTACATGTAAAAAGGTATCAGTGATCAGAAAGTGATTCAAATCTGTAACAACAGAAGCTCAGTGCACATAAACTGCTTTCAAAATGGCCAAAACTTTAAGATAAACCTGGATGGATGTAGTGTCAGACTTAACTGACTTAGGTTAAATTGGTTTATTGAACTTCTGTCCCAGAACCCCTCCAGATTCAAGGTAACTCAGTCCCCCCAGCATCCCAGGATGCTTTGCATCTCTGCCAGAAAGCTCTCCCCTGCCTCCCCTTACAGGGTGGGCAGGCTAGCCTTGACCCAAGCTTTCTGCTCCAGCCAAGTAGGGAGGCATGCTCTAGTGCCCCCCTGGCTTCTGGTGTAGGCCACTGATTCTGGAAATACAGCCACGTGCCTACAAAAGAATGCCTGTTCACTTGCTTATCAGTTCAATCTATGCAGTTTAGATTAACCTGAGAAAACTGAGTCTCAGGCTTTTTGACTGTCTGTACTTAGCTGTAGAGTTCTCCTCTGAATATCAGTGGAACTCAAGGTGGCACTTAGATAAAAATCTTAAAAGTTCATTGGATAAAACTTTACATCTGCTTTTTAAGGAACTCCACTTAAATTTTATTTAATCCAGTCAACAGTGAAGGCAAAGGCCCAGTAAAACATTACGGAATGGTTATGCTGCATACTTTTAACACACAAAGACAACTTTGTAAGGATAAAACAATATATTCAAGTTGCTTAGCTTATTAAATCCCACAAAAGGAAGCTATTTACATGACACTCACTTGTTGTGTCATTTCTGTCACACAGTTGTACATCAAACTAGGTGCTGGGTACAGGGTTCATCCCAAAACAGAGACATCTTTGGGATTCTCCAGTAGAGCCTCCTGAGAAATCAACAATACTTTGACCTTGTCATAATCAAAGAGTAAGAATGACAGAGCAAGAATTTGTAGGATATAAGACAGATATGAAAGATATTCTGACTTAAATAGAAGTAATATTCTCCTATAAGCCTAAGTAGCTTCAAATAAATGAGGAAAAATATGCAAACAACAGACTTTCTAGGTAATAATTACTTTTTGTCTTCCAATAATTAACTCAATTCATGTTACTTGTCAACTAGACAACTTTTAGTTCTCGTGTCAAATTGAAACCTGTTTTTAATCTATCTGCCGGTGACTCCACCATTTTTACATTAGAAGGTGGCAAAAATTAATGCCTGTGGCTAGAGGCAGAAGATAGTGAAAAACAGTCTAGGATCAAGACTATTTAATAAATCATCCTGACTAAAATATGCCACTGTGAGTACAGCTGCTATTTGCAATAAACAAATCAGTAGAATCCAAGATGGGGGTAAAGACTTGGAAAATGGACAGGCCTTGGCACATGCAGTTTATTGTTCCTGCTAGACTAGGGGATAAGTCAGGCAACTAAACGGATCTATGGAAGGAACAGGTCAATCTACACCTGTTCATTAGGTATTTTTTTCTGTACAAAGTAAGGATGGTTATAAAGAGGCCAGTGCTTGGGCATTCTCGATGTCCACAGGAGACAGGATAAGGAGTAAGTCTTAAGTTGCAACAAGGGAAATTTTAGGTTAGCAAGTACCATGGAAACGCTTGTCAACCCTGAGGGTGGTTAAGCCTGGCACAACAGAGTTCTTTCTGGGCATTGTCTTTCCATAAGTTATAACGTATGCTTCTTTTTGTAGGGGGGAAGTTATAGCCAAAGCTGGCACTGAGGAAACAGTTATATACACAGATATAGGTAAGGCTGTAGCATTTCTTCCTCCTTTACCACCAAAAAAAGAGAAAGCAGTCAGAGGTTAGAAAGGCCAGCACCCTTTGTAACTTTCGCACTTACACTCATCTATCTACAGGCACTTGGGGGAGTATGGTCTTTTCCAGAGTGTGAGGTGACAGCCTGGTGACTGAAAGTTTCTGGATATTTATGCAAGGAGCCATGCAAGGCCCTTGCTGACCAGGCAGGGTTAAGGGGAAGCTCAGGCTTGGTTCAGCCCTTTGCTTCTCTGTCTAGACTCCCAGCAAAGTGCCACTTGTGAGGGCAGTGTTGGTGAGCTGCAGAAATGAACAAGCCCAGATTTTTCTGTTCCTCTCCTGCATAAGCTTTGTTCGCACAATGCAAGTATACAAAGGTGTAGTCAAGCTTGACAGATCAGAACCATTGTTCCTCCCCTGCTGTAAAATGGCCTTCCCCAGACTTTAGGTTTCCCAAGTACCATGGGTTCTGTATGTCTAACACCTGCTTAATCTTTCACAGACTTGAAGAAGCTTGCAGAAATCCGCCAGCAAATCCCCATTCTTGCCCAAAAACGCTCAGACCTCTACTATGTTGAGACAAAGAAATAGTGAGACGTTTAGCCTGTGGATCTATTTACCCAGCTTCTTTTGCAACGAGCTCTTGTCCTTTGCCTTAATCTTCATAAACAAGCCAGAAAATCAGTAATTTTCACACACAGCTATGAGGAACTCGTACTCAAATGTTATAATTACACAAAGTAAGCTTGAATGCGGATGGCTTCTGCGCTGGCTCTTCTATCTCCTTCCCTACTTCAGCTATTTCGCAGCACCATGCCAAGCAGCAAGTTAACTTACGCTGACATCAGCAATAAGTTTTGCCTGCTGCTTGTGAACATTCAATTAACTGAGGGTAGGAATGTTACCATGACCTTTGCCTGTCGGTCTGGAAGTGCCCTGAGGGTTTCAGCTTATTGAAGATCAAGGGTGTGAGCCATAAAAGGGTGTAGGCCAGGGCTAGATCAGGCCCGTGGCAGACTCCATTTCCTAGCAGCCCCTGCCTGTGTTTCTGTGGCCAATTTCCCTGGAGACACCAGGAACAGTGGCGTGGTGACAGCACAGGGCCAGGGTTTCCACGGATAGCAGGGTGTGGAGCTGCTCCAGGGCTTGGTTCTTACAGTAGTGACAGCATGGTCCAGAGCTGGGCTAGAGCTGCGATCTGGTGCCCCCATGCCCTGGGCAGGGGCCTGCAGGCAGTGGATCACAGCTCTGCCCTGGCTCCGCTGCATCAGGAGCACATGTAAAAATGCCCTAGGATTCCCCGTTCACAGGTGCTATGCTGGCTCAGGGAACCAACAGCCCCAAATTGGGCACTGAAGCTCACCATAGAGATAATGCCTTGAATTGCCAATATATGAGGGCTGACCCAAAATGCTGAGGAAAGGTGGCTTAAGCTGGCCCTTTCAGAGACCAGCATGCCTCCCTGCTGTTCACAGTAATGTTCCTCAGGATCTGCAAACCTGAATTGTTGGGTGCTCCTGCCATGCATGGGAAGGCCATTTGCATTTGCTTCAGGTTTTCCCTGCAAAGCTAACACAGTACCCACACCAAGCTGTCTGGTCCAAAGGTGGTAAGGGTGCTCTGTGCTGTAACTTGGTGGTCAGCAGTCACTTCGGTGGTAGAGGACCATAGGGAGAGGCAGCAATTGAACTCTGATGTCTTAAGGGGAAGGTGCTCTGAGCCCTTATTTTTTGCCACCTTTTTATCCGCTGAAGCACCTTTGGAATGGAAAACCCACACCAAGAGTTACTGGACCCTGCAAGCAAAGAGTTCCACTTGTCACCTCTCCCTATACAGAGCTCCTTTAGTCTCATGGGGAGGGTGTTACACATTTGCTGAGGACAAGAATTAGCAGCACTAAAAAAAAATAAAATAAAATCCATGCGAGATTAAATGGAATACCTGCAACAGCATTCTTCAGAACAGGGAATAACTTGGTATAACGACATAAGCAGATGTTGCTTTGGTGAGTGAGTTCTCTGGAAAATGTAGGCCCTTGCCTCCAGGGAATTTTTAAAATTCTAACAGCAACTTTAAGTAACCACACCTTGTGTGTTAGAAACCGCACATCAGTTTGTCACTTATTTTCTGGAATGAAATTACTTCTTTTCACTTACTGTAAACTTCTCGCTTGCTCACCTCCTGGCATACAGGCAGATCTGTGTAATTTCTAATTATGATGCTGGTGTCCTCCTTGAAACACTTGAATTGCAGACATAGAAGTGTGAAAGTATGAAACACCAAAGACCAAATTCTGCTGCATGCTACTAAAGCATGTGGGCATAATTCTGTTGTCATCCTCACAGGGTAGGGGCAGGTGTTGACTCATTGTGTCAGAAAAACAGCACAAGTTTTTTGTGAACAAGTTGTGAAACTGAATGTTTCCTTTGGGTGCAGTTCTGGGTTTTAGCAGCAGATGGTGCAAGTGAAGTGGTGGAAGACTTTTTTCACACAAGGCCTAGTAGGCCTGACCTAGCATATAGACTTCCATTGATTTCTACCTTCAAGCCAATACCTTCATCAATTTTTTGTGTAAAAAATTAATTTAATCCTGTCTCCTGCTGGCTTGAAGTGAAGAGGGGGAAAGAAGGAGGATTGTAAAAGTATTTTCTGCTGAGAAACCTCAGGAAAATGCCAGCCTTTGGGCAAAGTCTGCTTTCCAAAAGGAAAAAACAGTGCTGCTTAGCAGTTGGAACACACTGAGCAGGTAGTCCTTAATGGAGACAAGAGAAACATCCCTGGCAGAGGAGGCCCCATCAACTGCATCAAGAATCCCAAATTCATACCATGGCCAAGATATTAAATAAATAAAATAAACAAAAATTAAGTTTGGCTTTTCTGCTCTGGAGCAGCACATAACCCTTTCAACCCTGAAAAAAGTAAAGGCAGAAAGCAGGGTCCCAGCCCCTTTAGAGAAGCCTCATACTAAGATATACACAGTACCAAGCCCTCTGTCACTTAGCTAGAAAGGTTTCAATAACCTGAGTCACCAAAGGGAGCAGAGGAAAGAAGCCACAATCATTATTATCTGCAACTGAAGTTCCATCTTTGGCTTCTCTTTCCATAGTCACCTACTTCTCCAGCTACTCCAAAGTCTCCTAGGGAGACCCTTTTCCTCAGGTGTTGGTCTGCTGCCACCCCATCAGCCTTCTTGGGTCTGGGTTGTCCATGTCAGCCTCCCCCTGCTGCTGGGAAGATTAACTTCAAATTAAAGCCAACTGTTTACAGTCCCGACCTCTTCCCAGGTAATGGTTCCCCTCATCACACCTTTCAACAGAGGTCAAGTTTGGCGTCTTGTGCTCTCCTTAAAGATGCATATAAAAGGAGGTAAGAAACAAAACGCAGACTGAGAGATGAAATGAAAATTTATTAGTTGGAAAAAAAAAAATCAACAATCAACTGTTTATGTCTTTAATAAATTTCCAAGAAGGCTCACGGCCAGCCACAGTAGCTTCAGTAGATTGGCGCCTTTTGCAGCCAACAGTTAGCATTAAGTCAACCCTAGCTAGACCCAATTATAAAATACAGTAGTTTTATATTAGGTTCAGTTTTCTAAAAAACATGTCCAACTAATATTTTTCCCCAGAATAGTTTTATATGCAACAAAGTTTTAACCAGAATGTACTTGCCTTTGGAGGATTAAAAAAAATAAAAATAAAATAAAAATGTGGGATGCTGATGAACAGTCCAAATGTTGGTTTTTAAAATAATAAAACAGCATTTACAATGAGGGATAAGCTGAGAAGAAAGTTTGCTTTGAGTAAAAGGCTGTTTAGTCCTGGAGTGTCAAACGGAGAGATGTGATTCCACCTCGACATAAGTCCCAAATGGGCAAAGTTGATTAAATGACTCAAATCCACCCCAAATACCTCGTTACATCAGGTCTTGCTATAGCTTGAACTCACCTCCAAGGGAGGCCAAGAGGGTTTTGTGTTTGTCAAATTAGACATCATCCCTAGGCTCCTTAGTAGTTAAAGCAGTCACTACCGTGTTGACAGAAGGCAGGCACTTTAAGTAATTGCTCTTTCCATATGCACCAGCATTCTATAAATATAGAAAATCTATCAACAACAGAACATAAATATTTCCCAAAGCACAACCCATATGAATACATTCTCTAGGAATAGCAAAGCAAGATGGCAGGTACTGCAGTTGGACAGGGGGCAGGAACATTGGTATCAGCACTGCTGGGAGGCCTAGTCTGAGCTGTTTACTGGTTCAACTGTTCCCAGCACTCCCCAGTGTAGAATCCAGACCAACTGCTGACCGGTTACACCATAGTTTTGAAGGCTAGTACCTGCTGCACTCGTTCACCTTTGGAAGTCTGGGTTCAGATCCTGCTGACTGAAGTCATAACTTCAAATTACCATTTGTGCACCTTGCAAACTGTTGGCACGCTGTAAGCAGCTGACTGGGAACACGAGCTGCAGGGTTTTCTTCATAGGATGAAGGTATATGGTTGGTTAGTGAGGGATCTGCTTCTCACAGCATCAGGCCTAAGGCTAGTCTGTTGTACTAGCTCTACATTCTTTCACTAGGGTTTTTTTGTTTTGTTGATTTTTTAAATAGCAGCAATAATGTTAACTCCTTGCGTTTCTCACACTCTCATTATTGAACAGGGGTGTTTGTGAGTTCTTATGCAGCACTCCTGGCATGAAGACAATTCTTAGGAGCTAGGCTCTTTCCTGCAGCAAACTAACATCTACTCTGCCAGGGAGTGACAGCCAGCTGCTCCAATTCCTCTTCTACACGCTGCTCTACTGCTTTCTCACACCACCTCACTCAGTGTTCGGCTGTTCACTCTAAGCTTGCACCTTGTCAGCATTTGGAAGATTAAGCAGGAGAAGGTAGAAAAGGAGCAGTGGCTACTCAAGTATTCATAATCAGCTTCTAGATTCACAGTGGCCTCTAATGTCCACACACAACTGGAGGTCTATGCCACTTCCACTGATGCCATTTGCAATCTTCTGCCAACACTTCATCTTACATATGTTGAGAGAGAGACACTTGAATGTAATATTTATTTGTTGACTTTACAGGTGATGTCATTTACAAAAAAATTACAGACAAATGCATCTTTCAGTGCAGTTTCAAACTATTTCAAGAACAGGCAATAGTCCGTGATGATTTGGAATGCTAGGATTAGACAGCACATGCTTGTTTTGTTTCCTTAATCTTTGGGGGAAAGAAGAGGAGAAACAACAATGGCATCAATAAGGCCATGCGAATAAAAACCCTTTTGGGGAACAGGACATATTACAGTCAAAGTTTTGAGTAATTTCTGTGAATTTGACATACGGTCGTTCTCAAGTAAGAGAGGCAGCAATTGCAAGCTCCACGGCAGGCCCAGCACTCAATAACTGCAGCGTCCTCTGAGAGAGACTGTGTCTTAAACATCTTCCACTCCACACAACATTGCTGCTTCAGGAGTTTAGGACTTCCTGAGCTGGGCATAAAATGGAAAGTTTAAGCCACTGTCTGTCCACTGTCTGTCCCTGCATCCCTGGCCAATGAGGCCAAGTTAAAAATACAACTTGCCACTGTTAGGCATTAGAACTCGTGTGCCAAAGTCTCACACTTACCGAGTTCACTTCTGTAAGGGATGTAATAGATTAGCAAATCAACACATAATTTCCATAATTTGGAGTGGAGAGAAGGCCCAGAATACAAGCAGGAAATCTAAATGGACACAAATTAAGCCTTTGCAGGACGTCAGGAGCTCCTCACAATCCCACAAAGCCAGGGGAAGGCAGTCACAGAATGATTCTAGAAGCAAAGAGTAACAGGTTACACCAAAATAGCAGAAAAAGCTCTCTGTAAAATTCCATCACAGAAAGGCTTAGTGTTGAGCAAGTCACCGATAAGGAACATGCTGGTAGTTGAACATCACATTAGACAGTATCTGTAGTTTTAGCAAAGACAGTTCTGCAAATCAAGAACATCAGTTAAGATCCCATATCCGTTACTGGGCTTTGCTCCTTATCTCAGCTCACCTGCAAAGGACAATTTGGAGGAAGCAGAACAAGAACACACTGGCTGGAGTTAGAAAAACCCCAGTTTAAAGTTTTTTCCATACCTGCTACAGCAATTAAATGCAACAAATTTCAACAGTTGAGGTCAAACACACACAACCCCAACCTTGGCAGTTAAAGCCTCAGGGAGACTTCAGTCTCCTGAAAGTTTCTTTGAACCACTCAGACTTTTAACAGTTCCCAATGGTTTTAAAGACAGAAGAACAACAGAGAGCAATGGCCTTGCCTTTCAGTAATACCTATGGTGCAGTAGTGTTGACTTGGAAAGCTTTTTTTTTTTTTTTTTTTTTTTTAAAAGAGCTCTCACAAACAGTATGATAGCACTTTTGGGGAGAGGGTACGGGTGATCAAAGTCTGTTAATAGCTGCCACAGGACTATTTCTAAACAGTATGCAGAGGGCAGTAAGGGTTTCAAGGGAAGACTGCATGCTTGGATATATTTACAGGGTTTCTCTTCACATCTATTGACTTTTTTAGAAAAACCCTACTAGTAAACAGACTTAAGGGTTTTTTTCTTTTGCAAAACTAAAACCAACCCTTAGGGATTGTGTATAAAAAGAAACCTATTTTACAGCACTGGCTAGTATTAAGTTTAAAATCAACAGAAAAACATGCTGTAAAATTGTATCTCGATAAAGCAAAAATCGCCCACAATATCACCACCCAGAAGGAACCAACATAATGTTTTTATTTGCATGGCCAAAGTAACTTTTTGTTTGTTCCCCTGCAGCTTGATTTCCCTTGAGAGGCTTTATGGTTTTGGCTGCAGAGGGAACAAGCGGCAATATGGCGTTCTTCCTGGGACAGCCACTCCCACAACACCTAAACATTTAACAGAGGTAACAAATGACAACATCACGAAAAGGAAAAATCTAAGTTCCACCATTCATCATGGTTTGCAACAGTGTCTTTGGGGCTAGGTTGAACTGGGCAACTTTACTTAAAAAGGTTGTTTCCTCCTCTTGTTTCTTTACAACGTTGGCGGTTTCAATCCGTATTTCTTTGCGACTTCTGTCTGGGCATAGGCAGCATCACAGAGCGAGTAGAGGTGGGCCATTTCCATTTCAGATTTGGCCAGGTTGATAGCTTTGTTGAACATTTCAATGGCTTTATCTAGATTGCCTCTGAAATGAAGCCAAGTACAATCAAATTAAGACACTAGGGCTGCATCTTGTATTCCCACAGCACTTACAAATATGAGACCAACCCCCACTGCTGGAGTGCAGCAACAACTGGGAGAACTAAAGACAACACAGTTTAACATGCACAGGGAACCACCTGTCTCACATGTCTGCGAACTTCTAAACACGAGCTGAGCTCTCCATGATTGATGTGAGGCAGCAGGGATTTAACTAGCCTCATCATTACTCAGCTATGACAGCTGGAGGACAGCTTTCCCCTGAATGCAAATGGCCAGCAATATAGATATAGCGTCCTCTATGAAATGCCACAAAAGATGACAGATCTTGCATGAGTGTCTGAAGAAGTTTCCAACCTCTCCTCTTGATGAAATGTACTCTTGCCCCATAAAAGCCAACAGGCTGATCTTGCAGTCAAATAGGCTCCGAGGCAAGAGGGCAGCTCAGTTATACTTATTGTTCTGAACTAAACTGTAAGTTATCCTCTGCAGAGATTCAATTGTATGCTCTGCTGGTGCCCAGGTATGGAAAGAGGATGTGGTCATAATCAGAACACTGCAAAATATTTACACTAGCAGGCTGTTCTTTCATCTTTGCCATTTAAGTTTGCAAACTACAGTACTGCCCAGGGAAACAAACCTCAGCAGTTAGAGCAGAATATCTGGAGTCTGGGCCTGGTAAAGCACTCTCCTCTTACAGAGTGTTACTTACTGGACTGTGTTTAATGGATACACAGGGAGTGTCTAACAATGGATGAGCAACTAGTTTTAGGTGTAGAGGTCTCTTACAAACACACAGTTCACTGAGTACAACAGTTTGCTTTTAAGAGGTTTAAGTGTGAGTATTTTTAAGATCACACAGTGGCATAAAAAAGTTCTCTTTTAAAACCTGCGATCTTTGTCACCACTATCCCACTATCCCTCCAACTGGTACAAGCCTCTTCTCAGCAAATCTAGCTGCACACCAGCTGTATAAATTAGTATGTAACTCACTCATCCCAGACATGCACTCAAGGGGCTTAGATCAAAATCTTAATAAACATTGTACCGTGTTGACTGGAAAGCAATTCTCCAAATGCAAGGCATGAAATTTGAATGGCATCCATTACAAAAGTGTTTGGTGAACAAGAACACCGTCGCAGTTAACTTGCTTTCTCATTTGTGTACACCCTGGGAACAAGGGGAGTTTGTGGAACTCTGAGGTGAGGAAGTGCCAGGCAAAAAGGAAGGTTTTCTCCAAACTCTGCACAGACCAAGGGAGAAGACAGCCCTGCCCTGGCTTCCCACAGGTGAGCTCTCCTTTCCAGTGCAGACAAGTTTCCAAGCTGTAGAACTGCTATAGTTCCAAGAGTAATTCCAATTTTTTAGACCCCATAATCACCAGTGCACTAGTGATTAAAATGTTACCTTTGCACTTCAATCGTTCCCATTGTTTCATATGCAAAGTCACATTTGTTATCGATTTCAATGGCCTTGCTTATGAGCTCCAAGCCCTTGTCTAGATCCTGCTTCCACTGAAGTTGAAGTAAACTGAAAAAAGAAAAACTGATCAAAACCCAGACTTGGATGCTGCTATGCTTCCCAAAGATCGCTTGACCTGGATAAGTGAAGTAAGATTCCACAGACAAATTAGGTTACGTTCTAAATATGAAGTAGGCTGTAATTTCCGCTGCTGACGTGAAATGAAATCACTCCCAAAAGCCTTTGAAAGAGGCTGTATCAGCAGTAATGACCACAGAGAAGTGAGTTCCTTTTCACATGTATAACTTCTTCCATTAGGAGCATCAACTACAGATTGTTTTTATAATTGTGAAAACTTAAGATCAAAAAGCTCCAATATGGAGCAGTTTATACATCATATTTATTTTTTTCAAAAGCACTTGACATTTTTTATATATATATATATTTTGAGCAGATTAGCACTTTGGAACACATTCCAATCAAATCTGACTGAAAAAATAAGGTTTACATTTTATTTGACCAAGTAAATTACAATTTTAATTTTTAACTTTAAAATTACTTATGTACTTTCACAGGAAAGACTATTGCTTTGCAACTCAATTATTTACAGGTAAATATATGGAAGCAAGCAGTAAAGTCTAAAACAGATCTTAAAAAGTCCTGCCCATCCTGTAACTGTACTAGAGAAAATGACTCCACACATACCCTTTATGAACATATGTAGTAGCATTGTCTGGCTCAAGGTCAATGCATTTATCATACATTTCATCAGCCTTCCCAAACTGCTGTTGGTCTGTTAGTGCCTGTAAAAGAAGAAACACTTTTTTCTAGTCAACAAACAATGCATGCATCCCGTGTGAAACCAAAATTACTGGAAACTGTACTGGTGTACTGGCACCGACTAAGCACTCTTACCACAGGCCTGGGTACATACATGCAGTAGTTACCATGACTTGTTTTCGTTTCATCAGGACACTTGGACAAATGGTGCTGATAGTTTAACTGCACAGATTGGCAACCACGTATGTAACAAGAGGCACACCTGAGAGATTTTAATTTTGCTTGATACAAGGGACAATATAAAACTCATGTGCACAACTCTGAAGTTTCTAGTTCTATTCCTTTCCTTCAGATGGCATACCCTCAGTAATTTTTCTTATGTAAATACACAAACCCCACAAGAGCTCTCTAACCTTATTTGTTCCATATTTGCAAGGCCCATTTAAAATCAGTAAAGCAGCAAGAGGTATATTTGCAGAACTGATACAAGACTACTATCAAATGTTCTTAGAATGGAGACAATATACATAAATGTACCCATGTAGATGGGCCAAATTCTAGCTGCTTGATATTTTTACCTGAGAAGCTAGCTCTGTTTTATACTTATAGGGATGAGATAAAAAAAAAAAAAAACCCAAAAAAAAACACACCTGAGCATAGAGTGCATAACCTTCAGCACACCTGGGAAATTTTTTGATGACATCTTCAAAACCTTTCATGGCTGCTTGCACTTGCAAAGGATTATTTCCTGTATAGGCTTGGCGATACTATTAAACACAAAATATGAACTTATGAAGAAAGACCAAATAAGCAGCTAGAACAGAAAATCAGATCCCCGAGACAGGGAAAGATCTAAAAGAAACGAAAACACCATAAACAAGTTAACAGAAAGTGGCACATGTGTCATTTTAGCCAGGCAGGTCCTTCTGGAGTGATGCATGTTCCCAGCCCTCTGGTAACATGGACCATGAGGGGACAGGGAGTCAGGGTAGTCACTGGCAACATCTCCCTTCCATGAGCTTTTGATTCTGCTCTCTTCTCCTCAGCAGAGGCTCCCTGTTCTATGGAAGGAGAACCTGCTTGGAAGAGTTATTCTTCCCTCCTAGAAGATGGCCTTTTTTTTCCTTCTGGTTCATATAATAGAAAAACTGACATTTAGCACAATTACCAAGATGATTTTTTTTCTGTTGTGGAACATTAACAAAACTTCTTTATAAAGAAGTCCTTGCAATTGTAAGTCCGGTTGTGTGCAGTTAGTTGCGCTCCCTTTCAATTCCTTCACTCCAGCTGTCCACAGGACCCGAGGGCTCAATCTTGCTGGAGCTGGGCTGCCCCACCTCTCTTCCTGAACCAGGCATATAGGAAATGGCACCTGTGTATCCTGTCAGCCCAGAGACCAACGGTCTGACCCTAACTTGCACCCCCTTTTCAAAATCCTAGATCCTCTCTTCAGTTTCGATATGATAAAATAACAGTGGCACATGCCCAAATTGAGCAAAATTTGCACAAATTAGACACCCAAGCTGAAGGAAGTTTCCTATGCGGACTTTAGTACCAGCACATAACAAGATGTTCTGATGCATGACACTGCAATTCTCTTTAGCTAAAACATCAACAAATCTGGAAGTGTTCAGTAAACGTTAAAAAATCCTGCAGTCGCATAGCACCACCTACCAATGCAAAACATTTTTGTGCTTGTGCCAAGGCAGAATCAGGTCGCAATCGAATGCATTCATCAAAATCTTCCACAGCCTCTTCAACTTGGTCTAGTAGGATTTTCAGCTAAGAAGAATAAGAATATACCTCCCAATTAGACATTCAGCCTGTTTTTACACACTTCACCTGTACATACATGTTGAACTAGCTCCACCTGATTCATGTCCTATTTTAAGAGCTGCATGTTCAATGCTG